CCAAGCCTTTGAGCCTTGACCAGTCAGCCCAGGCGGCGGCTTCTCCGACCACCCCGGCCGAAGCGCCCGAAGCGCCCGAAGCGCGCGGACCGGTGGCCGAGGCTGACCGGGCGCAGGCGAAGCTGACGGCTGGAAGGGTGGGTGTGAGGAGTGAGAGGACCCACCGGGACACCACAAATGCCTGGCAAGTCGTTGGCCAAATGCCCCATTTGGATCCGTTTGGTTTGCCGGGCTGGGGTTACCAAGTAGTTTGCATGGCGAGAATTCACTGAGACACATTTTCCACCCAATGGCAAAAAGGTATTTTACCATATCAGGGCTCAGGCGGCTCAGGTGCTGGTGTTCAGTTTGATCGATCCCTGATCCGACTGATCCGACTGAAATGTTTGTGTTGATCACGTGTGGCGCCGCCATGCAATTTGCCAACTCATGGTCATATGATGGGGTTGGTCCAACTGATGGTCCCCCCGATCCAGCGAAATCTAGCATGTTCTTCACGTGTCCAAGTCATTCAAACGTAAGAAAATGCATGTTCTGAGTGGAAACGGAACAGGCTACGCATGCTACGGATGCACGGCTACCAGTCAGACGAGTACTGTAGCACCCGTCTTTCCACGACCTGCGCCCCGTTAAGCCATGTTGGGCCACTGGTACCGGTGGGGAAGGGGACAGATGCTGGTCTTGTGAGGGCCACTTGATGGAATTGACACGCAAAAGGATGTGGATGAAAGCCAAGACCGCCCAAGCACCGACAGCCACGAGTCCACTCCCCGGACAGCTTGGAGGCGCAATCAGAGCGGACGCCTGCACAGGCTGGGGGTAGTTGCGAGATGTGAGATTTGTTGGTTCCCCATGGCCCCAGGTACCATATCTGGGTGTTCATGCGTGGGTTTCTGGATGGCATCCCGATAGATTGAACACATCCGATATTGAAATGGTCTTTGCAAGACTGCGGCTCAAACGCCAGCACTCAATTGGACTGGCTCAAGACATTCTCCTGGCCATGTTCCTAGAGCAAAAACAATGTTGATGGCGTCATACTGCTAGTGCCCACTGTTTTCCAGTCTTCAATACTTCCTCTCCCTCACTCACCCGCCAAAAAACACGCCACGAAACCTCTGGCGATACATTGAGGAACTGCCTCCTGGTGCGATGGCCCAGGCGCCATAAGAGGGAAAGTAATGGCCAAGACTGAAGGTCATCAGTGTGTTGGGTTGAAGCAGCGCAGCATGCAAATGGCACATGATGGCACTAAAAGCCGAAGAGTTCTCAAGATGCAAAGGTCCTCAAAAGGGGTGGTGCGTTCGATGGGGAGCTACTGCTGACAGAAGGAATTCTGGAAAGCCATTTGAGGCGCCTGAGGAAGACCATTTGATAATAGTGCTTCAGATGGTTCAGATATATACAGTACTTGAGTTTAGTATTCCGGCCATGTGCTGTAGGATATATTTTCCAATAAATTGTATCTTCCGTGAATATTGGAACGGTGAAGCACCACGGAAGGAGCAGTCGGTCTCTTTGCTTTGAGCCAGTTTTGGGGGAGCTGCGATGCCATGTTTTGAAGGGCATTTGCCTAAGTCCGGCTATTCAATCTGGCGAGTGATGCGTGCTAACTGTGCTTTTCCCCAATGGCTAGAACCTTGATCGTGCATGATCACGTGTGCCTTGATTCAAGCAAGCAAAGGCCTGAATACCTTCCCCGGCCCCTAGTAGCGATGCCATTTGCTCCTAGTAGCTTCCTTGCTCCTAGTAGTATGGGCCAGGAGCCCCTAGTAGCTTCTTGTTCGTAGTAGCGAGGCCAGGAGCCCCGTTCGTAGCATCCGATCGCTCCTACCGAAATGCCCATTGACTCAGAGAAACCGACGGAGGCTCCCGTCGTCCGACTTCAGGATGCGAGCCCTCCCTTCGATGGCCCAGCAGAAGACATCACTCCGCCCTCACCATCTCCTGGAGCGCTCCGTTCGGTTCGACACGGGGAAAGCCAGGAAAGCCCCAATCGAATTTCGGAAAACGTCAGCATCTTTTGGAAGCCCATTCCCTAGGGCTCTAAACATTCAGAATATACTTAGACCCTGTAAACCCCATTCCGAACACCTTCGAAACGGAAGAATACCTTGGAGCCCGAGCCCGGGCAGTCTGGGGGCGGTCTCCGTCGACGGTCCCCATGCGTGAGATCTTTTTGAAGGCCCATGGGGTTCCAGTCGGGCCGCAGCGGCTGGGGGTCCGGAAGTGACTCATTCACCCAGTCACTACTGTAACTATTTGTAACTATTTCTCACTGATGATTTGTGCTTGAATGACAGAGCTATGCCAAGGATATTTGGAGCTATGTAACAGATGAATATAGAAATAGAAAAGAAGGATCTGCAGATATTTGCAGCTAGAATTATAGAGCAAAACTGGTCCATGCAATGCTTCTTTTGGCTCAAGCACGCGAGATTCCGCCGACGTGCGCTCGCGGAGCAAGTAGTACAGGGGGGAGGTCTTCCAAAGGGGAGTGCTTCCCATATTGTGTAACCTGGCGAAGGCTTCAGTGAATGTACCAGACTTCCAGGTGTTCTACCGTCTCGAATGGCCTTTGGAGTTAAGAACCTAGCAAAAAAACATGCAAACACATCTAACTATTCAACTGCGTACAGTATTTGATGCATGCTTTTCTGCCATGACCTTCAGTCTTTCTCCAGGATTCGGTGCTTCTTTATTCCAAAAGTCTCCATCCTCCAACTCCAATGAACTCCTGGGTCTGGGTCTGACTTCACCACCGTATTCCCCTGTTCCCCGGTTCGGCGACCCAGGCGGCCGCGACATGGCCACGCTGAACAGCATGCGCTGCGATGCGCAGACCACGCGGCGGCTGGTGGAGCGGGAAGCGGGGCAATTGAAGAACATCGACCAGCTGGATAGCTGTGGAGAGGTGACCTTAGGCCTCTTACAAAAATTAGTTATTTGAGATCAGATGGGTCATGATGGATTTGCGGTTTCGTTTATTTTTGGGGGGGTGGGCAGATGTTGATGAGAACACATGGGGGCAGTCGCATTTGGAGTGAAATCAGCAGTACAGACTTGGCATGCGCCGATCACTCAGGCTTGACCATGACCTTCGGGTGCACGCTGGTGATTTGGATCTTGGGGCTGAACTTCTTCGATATGGTCGGGATGCAGTGGATCCGAAGCTGGGAAACCCATGCAGGATGGATGCCATTCGAGGATTTCCAGAATGAGGCAGCATGGTGGGTGGGCGTGGTGTTTACGTGGTGTGTGTGTGTGTGTGATTGTGTGTGTGCCTTTTTGTTGGTGCTGGACATGTTTGGAACGTCAACGAAGGGATTCGGGGTGGCAAGATAGTTTCAAGCTGTTTTTTTTTGTCATTCCGACCTTTTTCCTTAGCACCGAGGCAAGGCTTAAGCTGTTCGTAGGATTCACCCTGAGGAAAGCAAACATGGAAATTGCCACAGCACTTGAGACTGGACTTGCTCGTAGGCGTCGTACACGCAGCCTCAGCATGTGTGAGTCCTTGTTGTCTCCCTCCCTCTCTTTGTCCTGTATAAATACTGATGTACACTGTACACCAATAATATATATATATACAGTATATCTACAGAGGTGTGTGTGTGTGTGTAAACCGCTATAACAAGCGGAAGATTTCTCAGCACAGCACTGATGATGAGATCATTTCTCGGTTGATAGCAGGGGCGTGTGGCACTCTCGTCCTACCACACCCAACGAAGCTGTGGGCGAGAGTGGGAAGCAGAGCCTGATCCGCTCTGTGTACATGCAATGTTTTTTGAACTTTTGATCAAGCTGTTACTCCAATTTCCTTACAGGGTTAATCCACTTGACTTAATTACTACACATGATGTTTTGCATGCAGTGACGGTGTCGCCTGTGACACCTGTGTCCCTGTTTCTTGAAGGTCTTGGACTTAGGAGGTTCAGGGCATTGACATCTCTCTTCAGTTCCACCCAATAACTCTTCCCAGTGTGTGTTGAAACCTACCGTGAGTGATGATTTGTGTCCCCCTTTTCATCCTGCATCAGATCCGATTGCTACAGCTTTTTGTTTTTTTGCCACAGACCTCTGAAAGGCATTCCATTCTTCCCTTCTTTTCAATTCGAAGCTTAACTATTCGGGGTGCCTGGGCTGCTCCACACCAGGAGTCTCGCACGTCTTGCGCAGGTCTATAGCTCCTATAGTCCTGGGGAGGATGGAGTCCCCAAGGGCGCATGGGATGTCTTGGACGTTCACCAGGGTGGCTCCGTGAGCGAACGTGATCTGAAGGCAGGAGCCATTGGTCCTTGGATATTGTGAGTCATAGAACCACTGACATCGACACCTCCAGTGGGGTGATGCTCAGGTGGGTTCTTTGAAGATGTTTGAAGTATTTTGAAGTCCCTTAAGGGATCTCAAGGGGCTCAGGTCGTTGGGTTGGAGTGCCCAGATTTTGGGCCTAATGGCCAATTGAGAGTTCCTCAACCTTTCAGGCGCATAGGATGACCAATTTCTCGTATCCTAAGAACCTCCTTCACCTCATCCTCTGCCATCGGAGACCACTCCGCAGTTCTGTGCAGGTCTTCATGACGGGACTGCGAAACCCGATCCAAAGGCCAGAACAGGTGAAGTATTCCTTCCAGGGTTTGGACTTGGACCAGGAGCGACGTGACGCGGGCTGTTCAAAATTGTTTAGTCACAGATGTTGCAATGGTTGCGCGCGCGAGAGAGTTACTCTTTTTGGGGGAAAAGGACGTCAACGCGAACAGTGCTGGTCATGGCAGGTCATGAAGAAAGAAACCAAGTTGTGGCTGGTTGCCCAATGGACGAAACGGATCGAAACGGTCAATTTGATACTTTCGATGGAAGAACGAAGAACATCTCCGCTTGAAGTGTAGATTGAGAGCAACAGATGGCCGGACCGCCTTGCAGGAACGGGTTATAGGTTTCCATTGAAATCTTGCCCCAGCTTGCCATACCACAGTTCAATCTTCCTGCATGTTCTGCCCAAGATGGACCGGAATCCGTGGGAGGAGTTCTGCTTTCCCACTTTAGAGTCGGTACTAACATACCAGGAGCCAGACATTCGATGCAGTGTGACTCAGAACCAGCTGGAAGATCCGCCCAGACAGAAGTCTTCCTTCGATCAGGTGATTCCCGATCCTTCGGTGTTAGCGTTTCTTTGGCCATCCCGTTCAGTCTTCGGCGATCCTCGGCGTTTGGAAAGCGGCAGGACGGCTTTATCCAGCAGTCCGAGTGGAACAAAGCCACTCGTCGACTCGATCAGAAAGGATACATCGACACGCAAAAGAAAAGCAACAACGTGGTACCAGGTCAACAAAATTCAACGAATGTAAGGGTGCAGGTGGTTTAAGGAATGCAACATCTTGTAAAGGGACAATCCAGTCCAACTGGTCCTATTCAGATGACCTGGTCCTGTTCACAAGCCGACGATATTGCCTCCCAGGTTTTGCCCACTGAGCGCCCGCAGCGAATATGTTGTACCCGATTTGTCTATGTATATAATATATATACTGTAGTTGTTTGTCGTTTCTCCATGCGCGTCAATGGCCAGCTGCCGCAAGGTACATCGTGTCTTGTGCTGGTGGATACTGTAGTAAGAACATGAGAGGTTAACTGCCAGCTTTTGACCCAGTTCCTCTACAGAGGACATGGTCGAATGTCCATCGTCACCAAAATCGAACTTGAGGCGTTTGGATGAAGTATATAAACGAAATAACAGACCTATCAGTGGCAGTACAATAGTCATCAGAACATCTCCGTCACTGCTCCAACGTGGGTGTGTTTGTACGATGTTGAGGTGATTTCAACAACCACCCAGCTGAGGCTTTCATCCACAGCACATTCTTCTACCACAAGACCACTACCTTGAGCACCACGACATTAGCCACAACACAGCGCACCACGGTGCCGCACACGGTCATCACTGTCACAGAGCCGCCACCCATCGTGGTGGACCGTGCCACGTTGCACAAGTTCGTGGGTGAGATGGTGAAGAGGACCCGCTGGGGTTGGCACATGTTGGTACCACAAAAAGTCCAAACAAACATGTCCAGACATCTGTCCATGGGGTATCCGAAGATCTTCTTCGTGGGAAATTATTGTTTCATCTTCAGCTGTAGGTGGTGTAAGTCATCCATAAAGAATGACGGAACGATCATAAATAACAGTTTCAGTTTTCAAACCAAATGCCGAAGGCAATGCAGGCTAAAGATGCTAGAACCCACCAACCGGCAGCCTCCCCCATTTCAGACACACCCAGACTGTAACCTTCATTTTTTTCCATCATGGCCGTGAGCCATGGGGGAGTCCAGTCACTACTTCCGAACAGAAGGCAAGATCTTCCCCACATGGTCAGTCCTCTGTCGATGGAAGAACTCCAGCAGCTGGAAGACCTCAATTCACACTGCTGATGGGTGGTTTTCTTTTGAGGAGAGGTAAGTCGTAGGTGTTCACAACTCCGAACATCAGCTTAGTAGTTGGCGGTTTTAATTTTGAACATGTGTGTAATCAATGAGGGAAGAACAACCTGTTGAACTGAGCATGTTCTGAGCAGCCATCCAGGATGGGGAAGGAAGGCCAGCATAGTGCTGAGCAAGCCTTCGGAGCCTTGGATCTCAATGGTGATGGCTATGCCGCCCGTGGCGAGTTGCTGAATGCTTTGGGGCAACTGCGAGAGCCCATGCGTGGACAGGATGCTCGGGTGGTCTTTCAGGGCGTGGACGCCAACGAGGATGGCGTGGTGGAATTCCCCGAGTTTAAGGCTGCCTTTGAGTACGCCAGGGAGCACGAGGGCGACGGGACTGAACCACACAAGCCGGCGACCAGAACGAATCCGGGCGAGGAAAACGTGGAAGTGAAAGTGGCGCCGCCGCAGGAGCAGAATGACAACCCCAGGACCAGGGATTGGGATGTGAAGCGGAAGAGTTATATAACAGCATGTGAGGGTTTGTTTGGTCAGTGTTGTCCATTCACATGGACTTTTGTCCTAGGTCCAGTTCAGGTTTTATGAGACCAGCTCCCCCAGATGCCCATACACAAGACTGATGGCCAAAGGGAATGAAGAGTTTGAAGTGGGACGTCCGATTCATGTATTTGTATAATGTATATGTATATATATATTCATGTCCTATTCTTTGCTTTTGCTACTCATCTAGTCACTAGTCGGAATACCCAGGTGTGCAACGTGCCCCCATCCATGCCCGCAAGATATGCACTCTTCGCGAGGCTGGCAAAGGTCCTACAAGAAATGAGGCTCAATGAGCCCCCAATCTCCATGGCACGCTTCGTGCATGGCATGGGCTCGGTACCAGCGGAGACGGCGTTCAAAGCCTTGGATGCGAACCAAGACAATGAGCCCTGGAGGGGAAATTGAGGGGAGGAAAGGTGCTTGGTCCATAGAGAAAATGGTTGGGTTTGTGGGGCATGTGTTCTTTTTGTGAAGACCATTGAAGAGGCCCCTCTTGATGCGGAACAGGATGGATTCAGGCGATACCCTCAAGAAGTGAGTCTATTGCCTGGAACGCTCAGAGGGATCTGAAGTGGTTGAACCCTCACAATGGCCGTCCCAGATGATGGAGATGGATCAACTGTCTCAGTCAGGAGATGGCCATGTTTCCATGGACATCCAGGTGCATCGTCCCACCACACCACAGCTCCCCAAAGGCAAAATGGGGCTGTCCAAAATTTATCACCCTCAAGAACGAAAGAAAGCAGAGGCATCAACAAAATTGTGCCATCTCAACGAGAAGATTCAGGCCATCCAGAAGTGGGGTTTCCAACTGACCTCACTCACCCTGACCCCCCCGGTGGCCCAAACCGCTCTCTTCACCAAGGCCTCCCTTCGCCCACCATGGCACGCTCTGCTCTCGTCCCTTCGCCGTCAGGAGCTTTCGCAGGACGAGATGGTCCGCTTCGCCAAGGCCTTCGTCCCGCCGCTGACGCAGACCGAGGCGCTCTTCGCACATAAGGGCATGGACATCAACGACGACGGCCGGGTCGTGCCTGCGGAGACTTGGGCGCTGGGGTGGTGGGGTGGTGGGGGTGCTGGGTGCCCAGGAGGTGGCAGTCTTGTCATTTTCATTTGCTTTGTCAACACCTTTTTAACATTACTTTACACACATATCTTTTGGGCTGGAAGATATGCCTGGCTGGATCAGCCTGGGTATGCTTGAGGATCTTCATGTGCAAGGAGTATTGACGCTGTGAGTGATACCGATTCAGTGGTATCCATGAGCACCGGAAATGTTGTTTGACTTCCCCTGTTGTGTGTGGAGTGCCTTAATTATACTAGCTGTTATACTGACTATAAGATTATTGAGATATAGTAAAATTCACCGAACCTTCAGCCCTTCAAAAAGCATAGGTTCGCTCTCCGAGAAAGAGAAAGTGTGTGTTCATCGATATTTCCTTCGGATTTTCTTTCGTCATCTCAGGAGATGTACGATACCCTGCGCTTCGGACACTTCTTCACGACCGAGGAGCAGGCACGTGAGATGCATGAGTGAGGCCCATATCCTCGTGGCCACCAGGTGGGTCGGTCAAAGTGGAAACTCAGTTTCTGAAGTGGGAGAAATCGCCTAACAGTTCACAACAGCTGGCGCAAAAAAAGACATGCTGAGACCAACACAAACCAACTTTAGACTCCAAGTTCGACTATTTCTTGGGAACTGAGGGTTTCAGCAGTGCTCTAGTTGATAGGATTTGTCCTACCAGACATGCTTTTTCTTCAGACGATCTAGTGGAATACTGTTTCTTCTTGGTCCCTTTAGATTCCCAGTTTGTTTGATGTCTATTTCTCGGATGCGAGTACTTGGAAGATGAATCACTGTCTAATAGACACGGGGAAATGCTCCCTGCGGCCTTGCATCCGGACGGCAAGCCTGGCCTAAAAGGATTCGGGTTCAAGACATTGGATGATGAGAAAAGACGAACGGACAGCCCCACCTGCGCGGTTTTCAGTCTCCTATTCAGGAGAGTTTCACCAAACATTGACAACTGAAAAAGAAAAAGACATGCGAAGCACTGCTGGAAGCTTGCTGGAGCAGCTAGATTGGACATGATGGATTGACAGCGGACTGATTGTCGCATGTACGCCGTGTCACGTTTGCCTGAGACACGTGACACGGGTGCATACCACATAATACCATGTACCTTCTATATCCTTCTACAGATCTTTGGACATTTTTGAACTGCTTTCAGATGGAAGTTTCGCATGATTGTTTTGTTTTCCCCAAATTGAACCGAAGGTCCGCTCTCTCAGGAGATTGTGGCACACTGCAAGATGATGCCAATGCAATGGGTCCAAAATTGAGACCTGAACTTCTACAGTATATGCCTCCTAACTCTGGCGAACTTAATCACATTTATGTATGTCACGCAATTTTGCTGGCGTGTCCATAAAGAAACAAGTCATTTGATTTGAAGCGCTGCAACTGCCATTGTGGAATGTGGCAGCATTTTTTTGGGGACCATTTTCCTGGGGCGGCAAACATGCAGACTGTGTTGTATATGGACACTTGAGGGTTGCACTGACATCGCATCCACTGCAGGAGTCAGTCCCCAGGAGAAGTTGCGTGCTTGGAGCCCAGGGAAACATGGGAAATCCGGGATGCCCCTAGACGCCGTGTGGATGTGACAGAAGTCTCAGGGATTGTGAGGGCAGCTTCGTGCGCTTCGTGTGGGTTGAATGTGGTCGTCCCAGGAGACGTGCCCAACCCAACTCGGCCAAGGCCTTTCGATTCCCAGGGGCACCAGCCAGTATCAGCAATCGATTTCATCCATAAACCCCTAAGCGGTAGCAAAAAGAGGACAAAACTTGCAGTGTTCCATGTTTTCCATGGCCCAGGTTCCAACGTTTCCAGCCACGATGAATAGGGTCACATTTGCAAAAACGCCTTTTGTGGGACGCAAGAGACAACATTTTGGAAGCAAGAGCGCGAAGGTATGACTACATCGTTAACCCTTGCGGGTTGGTCGATGTTCTGTCAACCTCCCCCTGCATTCACCCCCCGAAATGTCCATGAAGATGACCCTCTCGCATTCGCCCTTTGATGGAATAGACTCTCTATAGAGACAGATCCCCGAGTTGACAAGTCGGACGCCCCTTACAAGGGGCGTCCCTGAAGGAGGGAGGCCTCTCTCACGTGTTCACGCTTAGGAGGCCCTGGCAGATACTTCTCCCTCAGCGCAGAGAGCGTTTCATCAGTGGAAGGAGGTGCCTTCGTGAACGAGACGTTCAGAGGAGTCTCAGGTTTACCAACAACGGCTGAAGCCACCAGGATTTTTGAGAGTCTGCTGAACTATACGGACTGTACTGGATCCAGTAGTATCCTGGTGGTTTGATCCAGAAGCTGTACTGGCAATGGCTCGTGTTGTCCAACCGGGACGTGTATAATGCCCACATCAAGGTTCTATACGTGTTTTGTTGAGCACTAGCTCCAGCTTTTCTGCATCCGGAGCGAATTCTGAGCTATCCCAAATTTCTACCCAACACCTTCAAAGTTCTTGACACATTGATGGATTAGGTCTGACAGTTCTTGTTGTGCCAACAGATGTTGCCAAGAGCCGCAACACCAAGAGCTGGGCTCTCGCAGTCTGGGAGATGGGAAGATCTTCAAGTCACCTGATGGGACAAGCGACGCAGCGACCACCCAAGTGCCACATCTGCAGGCGGAAGTGTCATCCTTCAAAGGGGATCAAGAAGAGGCACCGTCGAAGCTGCGCTGCCGAGCACTGATGGTACACACTACTTCATTGACGCTGGGCGCATGTGCCACACATGGGGGCGTCTTTCTTGGCGCCACAACATGCACAGCTTGACATGAACATAGCCATGGCCAACAACCGTAAAGAGATGGAGAAGATCAAGTGAGGTCAAGTGAGATTCTTGGAGTCTAAAAGGAGAACAACAACAGTTACCGAATGTGTGCTCAAATACTCCCAAACTAGGACAATGAGCTAAACATCCTCAGCCATTCTAAGGCAGACCATGAAAGAATATGAAATCAAGTGCACACGCCCAAATGTCAAAACGTTACTGGAGGTCCAGAAGGTCATTCCACCGTGGGAAGTTCCTCCACGTGGTTTTTTCGTGCACCGGAACCGAAACCTGGGGTCCTGCCACCGAAACCTGGGGTCCCGCTGTGTGCAGTGTGCAGGACATCCGAGTCTTTTGCGGGATCTGGAATTTGCACGGCAAGCGCGCTGGGAGCTTCAGATCGACCGGAGAGGGGAGGACGAAGGCTGAGAAGCTTGGAGGACGAAGGCATCAGGGTAATCTTAAAGGACAGGATGAAGCTACTAGGAACAAGGGCATTGTACTCGGGGCAGAAGCCTGACACACCCCAGAAGTTGTTCAGAAGCATGACACATGGCTTGGCAGTGCGTTCGTCATCTTGGTTTGGTTTTGCATGGTTTTGCACCAGCGAAGCACACCATCCTTTGTCAATAAACCAGGCCAGAATGACCAGGTCAGAAGTGTGAATTCCCAAGACACATAAATCTTGTGATCGTTTGGGAATGTTGTGAGCCTCCCATCAGAAGGCTGTGTTGCCCTTTGCCAGCTCTCTCCATCCTCAAGTGCTTGAGGCCCCGTCGGATTTGCATGCCTGGGTCCCCACCAACACCAGGCTCGGCCACCGGGAGAAGTTGCAAGGATATGCAACGATCACAGGGCTAGGGGTGTCAACATGCTTGGCCATCGTATCCCTGAATTGAGTGTTCAAAATAAGGGGGTGGTTTGAGTTGGGAATGGCCTATGATTGCTGTACTCCAAGCATGATGCAGTGTATGGCTATAAGTGCTACTTGGTCGTGCCTCCATCAAACATGCCTCCGTCCCTGCAAAGCCATCCAAAGTGTCGCTGTTGGCTAGATATCCAAGCTTGCTGGACAACATGACATCAACATACCCCTGGCACCAGGAAAAGAAGGTCAGCCATAGCTTGAGGGCTAGGCTGCAACCTCTACCATACCCCTGGGCTCCCACTCTGCAGAGGCATCACATCTACGCCATCGGCACCTGTGAATGCGAGCGCTCCATCGAGAAATCTTTGATTTGGTCCAGTAAGGCCCCGATGGACCAGTCGAGTCCCATTGGGAGGGGTGGGAAGGGCTTGGCGACGAGCTTCTCAGGTTGGGAATCTGTAACGGAAGGAGACTGCGAGAATGGCCTTGTTCTTGCCAGACAAGCTGTTTTAAAATGGAACCCCCAACGGAAGTTGTCACTTCCTCAGGCCAAGGCTAGCGATCCATCACCTCTCACTTTCGCTCACGATCACCTATGGGTGCAGGCACGATGGGAACGTCAGATGCAGGACTATTTCGGAGAGGCGGGGCATGTCGCATCGAACCCTGCAGCCCTGGACCTTCCGCACCGAAAGTTCGCGAAAAGAGCAGGACTACAAGATGATTGGCTCCCATACAATGAGCTGGAGACTCAAGTGGACGAGGGGTTTGGATCAATTCGGATGACTTTTGTGCAAAGGAAGGTGTCTTCCTTAAACCTTTAGGCACTTGGGCGCTTAGGTAAGGTACCAGACATCTTTGAGTGTGAGAATTTTGCCATGCCTCGCCTGTCCAGTTTTTGGTGCTCGTGAGGTTGTTGTATTCATGATGCCTAGCCGCCTAGCCTGTCCAGCCTTTTCTCCTGGCGAGCGTGAGGTTTGATGCTTTCTCGCCAGATGAGGTGCTGTTCACGTGATGATCTTCCTTCACCGGACCTTGTGGAGGTTCTGCTCAGAGGTCGAAACCTGTCATGTGCCAGACCCAGTCACCTCTTCCGGAACACTTGGCAGACGCCCAGAACTTTGAAGTTCATTTACAGCCTGAGATAACCAGTAAGCTAACAGCTAGCTGCATGTTTATGTTTCGCTTTCTGACTTGCTTATGGAGGCTTGCAATGGAAAGATATTGAAAGTACCATGAAGTACCTACCCGGTAGGTCCGTCTCTTCGTGCAGGAGGCCCCCTATAAGTATAAGCCGAGTAAGCCCACGAATGGCAATCGTCGTTCGGCGAAACGCCCTTTTCGCCGATCCACAGAGACAGGTTGCCACGGGCTTCGCGAATTGCATTGGCAACAAGGGAAGCACTCAGGCGGTTTGGACGGCTTGGTGGGCGAGGTGGCAAGGTGGGCAAGGTGGGCAATTGGATTTCTGAAGAGTGAGGGGAGTG